TCAACTTTAAGCCTCCAAAACGTGACTCCAAAAGTTTGTCCCTTAGTTGTGCTATATCTGCATCCAAGCTCATGATCCTGCGATGCATTGCCTCCATTGCTGGCTTATCAATACAATTCTGTACAGCTTTGCAATCACAGTAACGAATGGAGTCTGCGTGTTGCTCCACAACCAACCTAAGCTCTTGAAACTCCTCGGTCATAGCTTCATCCCACCACTTGAATATATGGTAGCCACCATCCTATACAAACACTCAGAACCCATCACAAATCATCACAAAGGGAAACAATCACAAATATAACTATTCAACACAACAAATTATCATAAACCAATACAACAAACGACTTATTACCTCATTATTACGGCATCCGTAGAACCTTCTACCTGGATTCAGGTCTGTGGAAGATGTCTGGAGCACTGGCACCAAACCGCAGTAACAACGGATAGGAAATCCAAAATTTCCACCAGATCGACGTCGAGCAGTCGAACTCATACATTCTCTCGAGCTGCTTGAAGGTTGAGTGTAGCTGTATTGACCCATTCCAGCTTAAAAAGATTTTTTATGATACCGATAAAAACGAGTATTGGTACGGTGCGTTTTAGTAATAAGGCGAAAACAAGTGCGATCTAGGGTTTTCTACCTTCCTCGACAAGATGCTGCCGGCGGCGGCCTCTCCGCCGCCGCAGGACGCGATCACAGGGTCGGGGATCGAACCAAGCTCTCTGGGAACATCTCTGGGGGAAGTGAACGTGGTTGAGAAGGAGTTGGGTAGGAGTCCGAAGGAGATTTCAGCGTTAGTGGTACAAAACAAGTCAGAAGAAAACAAGAGTCCGATCGGTTCGTGGGTTGCTGCAGTGCAAAACAAGCCTTTGATGCAGAGATATGAATACACAGTCGACGACATTGATGGATCTCAAACCATCAAGGTTCCGAAAGAAGTTTTGGAGAATTCTCCACCGCTATGGAATGACCTCCTTGTGGGAAAATTCCTGGACACGGCACCGTATGTCGGGAAGATTCATGTGCTAGTTAACAAGATCTGGTCTCTATCAGATAAGTCGGTGAAGATAGATGTGTACGTCGTTGACAAGACAACGATGAAATTCAGGATCAGAGATGAAGGGGTTAGAAACAGAGTGTTGAAACGAAGAATGTGGAATTTGTGTGATGTGCCGGTCATAGTATCTAAATGGAGAGTTGCAGAGGAAATGCAACCGGAGATGAGATCTGTACCAGTGTGGGTGGTGGTAAAGAACGTTCCGCGATCAATGTTTGCCTGGAAAGGACTATCTTTTCTTACTAGTCCAATTGGAGAGCCAAAACACTTGCACCCGGATACGGAATTGTGCAAAAGTTTTGAAGTTGCTCGTGTGTTTGTCGAGGTGGATCTCACAAAGCCCTTGCCAAAGTCTTACAATTTTATGATGGAAAATGGTCAGGTTGTCAGTGTCTCCTATGAATATCCATGGTTGCCAGCCAAATGCACAAACTGTGAGAAGTGGGGACATAAACAAGCTGAATGTGTAATGCAAAAGGTTCCAGGCCCTCCAAATGTACCTTCTCCGACCGTGGAGAGCAAAATAGTAAATGGTCATAACTCGGTGCAAAGCAAAGTGCAAGAAACAGAGTCGAGTGGAAAGCAGGACAAATCTGATAAGGGGGGTGAGGTCGAAATACCATCACACCAGACATCAGAGAGAGAAGAGGGAGAATGGTCCACCCCAATTCGGATAGCCAAATCTCCACAGCGGGTAACAAAAGAATCCAAATTTGGAGAAGTGAGTATCCTTGCAAACTCAAGATTTCTAGCTCTTAGTGATAAGGGGGAGAATGGAGAAGAGCTCAGCGATATGAGTAACATTGGCGTCAGCCAAAAACAGGGCAAATCAGAGGAGGTGAAAGAGATCAATGATAGTAACCCGGGGGAAGAAGACATAAGCTCCCAAACAACACACGAGACTAGTAAGGAAACTGAGCACACAACGCAGCAATCTCAGAGACTTGCAGCGAAAGGTAATCAGAGAAAACTTGTACATGAACCGATGGGAAATTCCAAGGCACCTCGTCACGGATTTCAGAAGAAAAGCTCCCTCCCTAAAAATCTTTGATGTCAAGATTTTTTTGGAACATAAGGGGACTTAACAAAAAAATTAAACAAGTTGTCGTGAAGGAATGGGTAAACCGTGGAGGATTTGAATTTGGTTGTCTTATTGAAACAAAGGTTATAGAGAGGAAGGCGAACAAGATCATTTCAGAGGTATTCCGTGATTGGTCGTGGATGGGTAATTACGAGCACCACAGGCTGGGCAGAGTATGGGTGGTTTGGAAGCAGAACGTGCGTGTCACTCCTATCTTCAAATCCTCACAAATGATTTCATGTTCGGTACTGTTAGAAGGGAAAGATGAGGAAATGTTCTTTTCTTTCATTTATGCTATGAATACTGCAGAGGAGAGAAAGGAGCTGTGGGAGGATCTGCGAAATCACCAGGATTCAGGTCTTTATCTAGGAAAACCATGGATCATATGTGGAGACTTTAATGAGATTCTAGATAGAGAAGAACACTCGCTGCATGAAAATTTGCCAGTCACCACTCCGGGAATGAGGGATTTTCAAGAGATTGTTGGGTATTGCGAGTTTTTGGATTTGAGCTACCACGGTCCGAGGTACACTTGGTGTAATCGAAGAGATGAGGGATTAATCAGCAAAAAGCTAGACAGAGTTCTAGTTAATAGCGAATGGATGGCAAGAAACACACAATCATATTGTGTATTTGAATCAGGAGGCTGTTCAGATCACCTGCGTTGCCGCATACAAATTCAGAGTAAAGAGCCGCAAAAAAGAAGACCTTTTAAATTCACCAACGCTATGACTACTAGCTCAGAGTTTACTACGTGTGTGGAGGAAAACTGGAGAACAACAGATCCTCTATTCCACTCGACATCTGCCTTATACAGATTTAGTAAACAACTCAAAGGGCTCAAACCCGCTCTGCGGAGTATTGGAAGAAACATGCTCAGTGACATCACAAAAAAAACCAGAGAGGCATATCAAAAACTTTGTGATCTTCAAGAGATCACGATGCACACTTCCACGAGCCAAGCTGTTGATAATGAGCGAGTAGCCTGGGAAAGATGGAGCCACCTTGCTTCTATTGAGGAGAAGTATTTGAAACAAAAGGCAAAAATGTTTTGGCTAAAGGTTGGTGACCAAAACTCCAAAGTCTTTGTCAATGCCATTAAAAAGCGAACACTAAGGAACAAGATCGGAGAGATAGTTCGCCCTGATGGAACAAAAGCCACTAGTGACGACGATATAAAAGCGGAGGCTGTACGTCACTTTGAGGAATTTCTCAATGATAAGCCAGCTGATTTTGCTCCCTGGGAGGTGGGGGAACTTCGGAATATTGTGGGATTTACGTGTTCTGATGCCGACAAAGCACTACTGACCCATGAAGTATCTGCTGAGGAAATTAGGAGAGTATTATTCTCTATGCCTAAGGAAAAGTCTCCAGGCCCTGATGGTTTTACCATCGAATTCTACAGAGCAACATGGCCGATCATTGGAAAGGATTTGGTAATAGCTATTCAATCCTTTTTTAAGATGGGGTTCCTTCCAAAGGGAATTAACTCTACCATCTTGGCTCTCATACCGAAAAAAAAAGAAGCTGTGACCATGAAAGACTATAGGCCAATCTCCTGCTGCAATGTGATCTATAAGATCATCTCAAAAATCATTGCAAACCGCCTCAAGATCATCCTCCCAAAGTTCATCACACCAAACCAATCTGCTTTTGTTAAAAATAGATTGCTCATGGAGAACCTGCTTCTTGCTACAGAGCTGGTTAAAGACTACCACAAAGAGAACATTTCAGCAAGATGTGCTATGAAGATAGACATCTCCAAAGCTTTTGACTCAGTCCAGTGGGGTTTTCTGATCAACACTTTGCATGCGATGGACTTTCCAAAGGAGTATATTCATTGGATTTTCTTATGTATCTCTTCGGCCTCTTTCTCTGTCCAAGTCAATGGCGAGTTAGCCGGTTACTTTGGTAGCTCAAGAGGTTTGCGACAAGGATGTGCCCTATCGCCGTACCTCTTTGTTATTTGCATGAACGTACTATCTAAAAGGCTGGATCGAGCCGCGGCTGAAAAAAGGATTCAATATCACCTGGAGTGCTCAGCACTGTCGCTTACACACTTATGCTTCGCGGATGACCTGATGGTCTTTGTTGCTGGAGAGAAACAGTCTATAGTTGGTACTCTAGAGGTGTTTTCTGAGTTTGCAACTCACTCGGGTTTGCGCATAAGTATCGAAAAATCTACAGTCTACATGGCTGGTCTGACTGAGGAGCTGCGGGGGGAAATCCTCCAAGAATTCCCATTTGAATATGGTACCTTGCCAGTGAAGTATTTGGGCCTCCCTTTACTCACCCGACGGATGACTAAGGCAGATTACTCCTCTCTGATTGAAAGGATCCGATCTCAGATAAACTCATGGACAGTGAAGCATATCTCCTTTGGTGGACGACTTCAATTGCTCAAATCGGTCATCTTCAGCTTAATAAACTTTTGGATGGCTGCCTTTAGACTTCCAAAAGCTTGTTTGGCTGAGATTGATAAAATATGTGCAAGTTTCTTATGGTCAGGGCAAGCAGACAATGGGAAAAAGGCAAAGGTATCATGGGATATGGTGTGCACCCCAAAGATAGAGGGCGGCCTGGGTTTAAAGTCCCTTGAGGCAGTCAACAAGGTCTGTATTCTAAAGCTCATCTGGAGATTACTTACCGCCAAAGACTCTCTGTGGGTAAACTGAGTCAAAAAACACTTAATCCGAACAGGATCTCTCTGGTCAGTAAAGGACTCTCCATCGCTAGGCTCCTGGATATGGAAAAAAATCTTGAAATACAGGGAACTGGCTCACAGTTTTTACAGAGTAGAGGTCGGAAGTGGCTCGATGATTTCTTTCTGGTTTGACAAATGGAGTTCTCTTGGTCCACTGATGGAGATTTTTGGTCCAAGAGGATGCATTGACATGGGCATATCAGCAAACTCAACGCTGGCTGCTGTTATGGCCAGCAATCGAAGGAGGACACATCGCAACCCGCTGCTAAATAAAGTGGAGGAGGAAATTAAGCAACAAAAGGACAAACGGGTTCAGGGAGAACATGACAAAATGCTGTGGCGTGGAAAAGGAGGGAACTACAAAAATATTTTTGTAACTCAGGAAACATGGGATCAGATTCGTGGACAGAAGGTTTATTGGAACTTGCACAAAGGGATCTGGTTTTCATTTGCAACACCGAAATACTCTGTCATCACCTGGCTTGCCGCAAAAAATAGACTTTCAACCGGCGAAAGAATGATCAAATGGAACCTCAATACAGCTCCTGGTTGTACTTTCTGTGCAGAGCCTCTAGAGACTCGGCAACATCTCTTCTTTGAATGCCCTTATACGGAGCAGATCTGGAAGGGATTGGTTGGTGGGATTATGAATGCCGAGTACACTGCCAAGTGGGAGGAGATTCTGGAGTTTATAACAAAGCCGGCAACAAACACGACGAAGGAATTTATTATCAGGTACACCTTCCAAGCTTTGCTTCACACAATGTGGTGCGAACGGAACAACAGGAGACACGGAGAACCACATGTTCCAGGAGACATCCTTGCCAAGCGTCTCGATGTGATGCTCCGAAATAGACTCAGCACAATACGCAGAGAGAGAGTGAAGAAATATGAAGATGGGCTGCAAACTTGGTTTGCTACAAGGATTCCATAATTCATCACAAACTATAGGAAGCAAAACCCTGAGATTATGTAAGCAAAGGTCAAGAGAAAAGTTGTAAAACAGTTGTATTTTTCTTTTGAATATAATTTAACATTTTATTCAAAAAAAAAAAGATTTTTTATGTAAGAAATGCATGCTTTTGGAAAAATTATATATAGACTTCAAGCTAAAGGCCAAAATCACATGAAAACAACAACTAAAAAAAAATAACAAAATAATAACTTTACAGCTAAAAACAAAACAACAAAAACAGACTTTCCAAACAAGTATTTCTTACTCGCTAAACAACAAAATAACAAAAAAGGTACATCTTGAAATAAAAAAAATATGTTTACTTACTTGCTCACGGGATTGGGCTTAGATCTGTGAAAAAAATAGTAAAGCAAAAGGATAAAAAAAACAAAAGAACAATTTTAAAGGACAAACAAGTAAACAATAAGATACGGACTAAACAGAGAATGTAATGGCGAATAACTCACAGATCTGGAGAGATAACTAAGAACGATGAAGACGCCGGGTGAGATCTGCAGCAACAATATATCTAGTGAGATATATGAAACAACATATGCATCAGAAACGAAAAAGAAGAGATGGGGAGCGCCGGGAAAGGCTTACTGCGAGGGAGAGTCGCGGCGAGAGAGACCACAGTGCAGCGCCGTTTTACAATGATCTAGGATTTTTTATTTATGGTAACGACTGGTAAGTTTTTTAATATACTATGTTAAAAAAATTCCGGTCAGGTTAATTATTCTCGATTTATATCAATATTTAATTTTGATTTCGGTTCCGGTTTGACAAGACTTCGATCCGTAGTCTGCTGAGCAGACTGATAAAGAAGTCTGCAGCCCTAGTTTATAATTATTCACTTTTTATGTTTATCTTAGATGGTTGAAAATTATTCATTTTTAATAAATTCTAATTTATATAGATTATACTTGTTGACATTTGATTTATAGAAACATATTTCAGTTTAAATAATTTTTATATAATTTTAAAATTTAAATATAAGATTAATAATATAACAGACTTCTTTATAAGTCTGCTGAGTAGACTGATAAAGAAGTCTGTAGCCCTAGTTTATAATTATTCACTTTTTATGTTTATCATAGATGGTTAAAAATGATTCATTTTTAATAAAAACTAATTTATATAGATCATACTTGTTGACATTTGATTTATAGAAACATATTTCAGTTTAAATAATTTTTATATAATTTTAAAATTTAAATATAAGATTAATAATATAGCATACTTCTTTATCAGCAGACTGATAAAGAAGTCTGCAGCCCTAGTTTATAATTATTCACTTTTTATGTTTATCTTAGATGGTTAAAAATGATTCATTTTTAATAAATTATAATTTTTATAGATCATACTTGTTGACATTTGATTTATAGAAACAAATTTCAGTTTACATTATTTTTATATAATTTTTAAATTTAAAAATAAGATTTAATAATATAGCAGACTTCTTTATAAGTTTGCTCTACAGACTTCATTAATATTTGCAGATTTCGCAGGGTTATAATCGTAATTGAGGTATCTGTTTTATTGTTTACTCATGTAGGAGATAATAGTAATTTCTCTACCCCTCTGACCTATTTTTGCAATAGGTTGAATTTGGGCTATACTTTTGCATTTGGATTCAAATTGTAGCCTATTTTTAGCAATTCCCCCTAAAATTTGTAGGTCGTAAGTTTTTTTTATTGTGGCTGTAGATTTTAGTGCTCTAGGATTCTGGCTGTAGATTTTTAAAAAATTAAGGGCGAATTGCTTTTATAATGTATTTTCAATTAACATTTGTCCCCTTGATGTCTTCTATTTTTTGTTCATTTTTTACATAGTTTCCCTTTTAAATCAATTATGGCATTTATAATAATAAATAAAATCAAAATTATTCTTTAAAAATTTCAGAAATACCTAAAAGAAATCAAAATATTTTCGGATATCATTTTAGGAAAAATATATTAAAAATATATTTTTAAATGCATGGTAGAATGTGTGTTCTATGTTATACGTCTATGTAGAATCCGATTTCTATAGTTCTTTATATATTCTACCAGCCTGTAGAATTTATTTTCTATAGATCTTTATATATTCCACCGATTGGTACAAAACGTTATATGTTACCTATATTCTACATTAATTATGGTAGATTATAAGTTCTACTGAATAGACTATATTCTACATGTTAGTAGAATACAACTTTTACTGAATACACAAAGTTCTACATCCTCGTAGAATATTAATTCTACTTATTAGACCTGGTTCTACTTTATTGTAGAACAGTTCTTCTACATTTGGTCTTCATTCTACATTAACATAGAATACAATTTCTACCAAAATCTGAGAAAATTTAGGAAAATTAGTTTTATTGTTTTCCATGTTTATTATCTGTTTTTTTGACAATTTTTTGTTTTTTTTTCTGTCATCGTTGTCTTCTTTTCTTCCCCATTGATCAAGCAGATTTAATCCTAATCCAATGCCTTATTCATTGTATTAACTAAAAATTTATCATTAAAGTGATTTTTTTTTGTCAATAGCTTAAGTACTCGGAACGGTTCGATTAACCAAACCGGTGATACCGAGTTTACATAGATAACTTCTTGAGGGTAGATACGAGCACTTCTTGCAAGGTTGTTTGCCTTCAAATTTTTTGCACATGGAATATGTGATATGGAAAAAAAACTGAATCTGTTCTTCATCTTCACGATCTCTTCCAAATTCCAAATGTAGAGCAAATGCTGGCCATTAAAGTGATTTGAAACCCATAATTAATCCTTAATCCTGATCCAATACCTTATTCTAAATGGATTCGTCTAAGATTATCACATGTGGATTTTTTAATTGAATCTAAATGTTCCGCCGACTATACACCCAGAACTTGGCCACGTACGATTAAGCTTTTTATGTTTTTTAAGCATTTTTTCTTTTCACGTTTTTAATTTATTTTTTAATTTTCATTTTTTCTAAATTTTTATTTTTTCCTTATATTTTCTTTTTAATTTAAATAAATTTATGTATAAAATATTTTAATTAATTAATAATTTGAAAATTAAGGAGTAAAACTGGGTTAACATTAATATAAATATTAAGGGGACACAATGTTTTTAGAAAATACTAAGAGAATAAATCTGGATTTAATTAGCATTATAAAATCAATTCCCCCAAAGTAATAAGTTACCTCAAAATATTCTAAACCCAAAATATTATAGAGCATCTATAATAAAAATCTACAAAAATCTTTTAGAGGGTCTCTTACTATTAAAAAAAGAAGAACATAAAGAAAAGAGAAAGAGTGAAATGAGTTTTTTTTTTATTTGAGAGATTTTGAGAGACTCATGTAAAACTTTTGAGCTATGTATCTTTTTATTATTGGTTTGATTTTCTTTTTAAAATTAATATTTAATTGAAAACGAAATTCTATTAGAATACTAATATTATTTTGGTGAGAACTTTTTTTAGATTTTCTTACCACTGCAGATGGTTTTAGTATTGTAGGTATTTTGCTCTTTGGATCCAGAAAAAAAAAAACTTTAATGTCAAATAATCTTATATATAAAAGATGAAAGGGACTCTCCAAAAATTGACATTTAGCATTTAAGAGCTAATAAAAAATTTACATTTATTTTTCTTATTAATGCATTTGCAAACTAGTATATATATATATATATATATATATATATATATATATATAAATCAACTATTTAATCTGATTTTTATTATGGTAAAAAAATAAATTATAAAAATAATATAAACTAAATTCAAATTTAATTTATATGTATACATAAAAAATAATAGAATTTTTAAAAATTCCATCTTCTTTTTTTACCATGTGATATACTCATCATATTTGAACTCAGAAAAATAATATATTAAAAAAACAATTGAAAACAAAATAAGTACTAAAATAAAAATAAAAATAATAGGTTAAAAAATTTATAAAAACTGAAGAAATTTTTTTTTTAAAACAAGATTTAGAAAATTACGAGACACAAAAGAACATTCATTAAATAATCAAAAAATAACAAATTATCAAAACTAAAGAGAAAAAATGACAAAAAAATAAAGTAACAAATAAATATAAATTTTATAGAGGCATGGATAACATAGATAGAATCAATGAAAAATATGTAAAAACAAAACATGAAAATAGTAAATTGCAAAAAGTGAAAATATAACTAGATCGAGATTTTAATGAAAAAAGTAACAAAAAATGAATAGAAAAGACTAATAGCAGGATCATCAAGAAAAGAAATCATAAGAGAAATCGAAAGTTGAACAAAAAAATTAAAAATATAAGTAAAGACAAATTAAAATCTGTCCCAACTATTAATTCCTATAAACTATTTAATTTGACTTTAACATGGTACAAACATTAAATCATGAGCATAGCTTAAATCAAATTTAAATTTAGTTAAAAATATTATAAGTATAACTTAAAATCAAATTTGAATTTAATTTAAACATCATAAACATATGAATAAAAAAAATTTAGATTTTAAGTTCATCTTATCATTTAATTTTTTGTGTCATTTAATCTTTATTTTCGAACTAATAACGCTAATTTAATCTCAATGCAAAAGAAAAACAAAATTATGAGACAAAAATGGAAACAATAGGCTAAGCAAGTTGCAAATACCTAAAGAATAGAAAAATAAGAAGAAGAAAACCACAGTACCAAAAATAAAATTTAATAAACAATTAAAAAGATAACAAATTATAAAAATATAGAAAAAGGACAAAACAGAAAAGGACAATACTATAACAACAAATAAATCTATAAAATATTAAAGATATTAAAAATATAAGTAAAGAAGATGAAATCAGTGATATATATACATATATACACATATAAAATATATTTTATATGTGTATATATATACGTATATATATGTGTGAAAAAAAACTTAAAAGTTGTTAGAAAGTTAATAATTAGCACTAAATCGTAATTTAGATAAAAGATTTTCAAAAACAAAAAACAGATGAATAAGATTATTAAAATTATCAACAAATTATAAAAATTAATACAAGAAAATTAGAAGTTGATAGTCTATAATCCCGCAGCGTAGTGCAGATTCTCTTCTAGCTAGTCTGTTTAAAGCATGATTGAAGTAGATTTAGTGTTATGGAGAAAATTAGGACTGCGAAAAAAATTCTTAAGCATTTGCTAATCAAATCTATAATTACAACAACGAACTACATAGGCATAGGGCCTAATACCTTTGCCACCTTTTCCCTTTCTCAAAATTGGAATGTGCAGGTTTACATACATCCAACTTGAGAAGAAATGTACCAAGCTTTTGTTGTCCCGAGGTTTTGATCATTATATCAGCTAGCTGTGTCGTTGGAGACATATATAGTTGCAATTGTACGTGTCTTGTATAATCTCATCATCCCGGATAAAGTGATAATCCAAACTTGGAGATGAACCATAGCTTTATCAAAAAAGAGATGAACCATAAGAGGCGGACGGTTATAGATGAGCTCAAAATGTTTTTTCTCGTGATGGATAGTTGTAGGTGTTCTATTTATTAAGTAGCTGGAAGCTAGAGTTTAATAACTCCAAAATCAATCAGCAAGTATGCCTGAAATCGAAGAGCTCTAACGACATTTAGAATGACGATACTTGCATTCCACGCATCTATTTTGGAGTATCGACACAAAAGGTTTTCATGTGTAATCTCGTTTTGAGCGAAATGTTGTGACAAACAGATGAAAACCATATAATAGTAGCATAACAGAAAATAAAAAATATAATTAATTTTCTTTCACAATGAGAAATAATTTTTTTATGAAAAAAATTCAATAAATAATGGAGGAAACAGAAAAAAAAGAATCAAAGAAATTAAACAAATGTTGCCGACCCTAAACGTTTTTTTTTTCTCTCTGTCGGGGTGCAATTTCCTTTTTGTGAGTTCCTCTTAATTTCCTTTTTGATGAGTATAGGAATATACCCAAAGGTCGAAATCCACTTAAATGTCGAAACTGTAGTAAATTATGATAATTGATATCACCGACCTAAACCCTAACTAACTCTATATAAGTCTTACAATAACCTTTTTTCTCTCTAAGCGTATTTTCTTTTGTTTTCCACTTTCTCTGTCACTGCAAATTTCTCTTAGCGACTCAATTCCTTCTTTGTAACTCAGTTTCGAAATTTGAAGAAAGCTCTGTCTTTGCAAATTGAAAGATGCGATCAAACGAAGAAATCGTGAAGTTCTTGGGAGAAGGTGCTTACGGTTTTGTTAATCTCGTCAAATATACTAAACGCGACGGCTCGTCGTTTCATGCCGCCGTTAAAAACTCTTACGCCGAGGACTTTGAAAATCTTCAAAAAGAGCTTCAGATTCTTTGCCAACTCAGAGGATATCCAAGAATCGTCGAATGCTTTGGAGACTACTTGGAAGAAGGTTTCAGCTTTTACGGAAACAAAGTTTACAAATTGCTTCTCGAGTACGCTTCCGAAGGTAGTTTACGTTCTTTCATGGACAATTATTCCGACAGGAAACTGCCTCAACCGATGATAAGAGACTTCACGCGTATGATTCTCGAAGGTTTGGTCTGTATTCACGGCCACGGATACGTTCATTGCGATCTCAAACCCGACAACCTCCTTGTGTTCCCTTGTAAAGATTCTTCTTCATATGAACTAAAAATTTCTGATTTTGGAAACTCGTTGAAAGTCGGACAGATCCCTCATTATTGGGGATTCGATTTACCGTTTGTGGGAACGCCGATTTACATGCCGCCGGAGTCTCTCATTGACGGCGTCGTGGAGAAAACCCTAGATCTTTGGTCGTTAGGATGCTTAGTGTTGGAGATGTACACTGGTGAGATTCCATGGCTTGGTCTCGATATCGATGATCTCGCGTCTCGTCTTCTTTATGATGAAGCTCCAGAGACTCCAGAGTGTGTGCCTTGCGATGCGAGGGAGTTTATTGAAAAGTGTTTCTCGAGGAAACCTGAGGAGAGAGGAAGTGCGTCTGAGTTGTTGTCTCATCGGTTCTTGCGTCGAGAAGAAGAGGAGAAGATGGAGAAAGTTATCGCCGTTGTTGAAGAGAGAAGAAACTCGTTTCTATTGAAGCTGAAGTTGAGAATCATACGAGCTTCGAAGAAATCGGTGGATGTTTCAGAGAAGAAGCCTCTGAAATTGAAGATTGTTCCATCAAAGGCTCCATATTTTAAGAAAGTTTTGACTAAAATCTTGAGGTTGAAGACGATGGATTCTTATCTAGTTTGTGTTTAGTATTGGATCGAATTATATGTATTTCAGGTATCTCAATCTGTATGTTACGTACAATCAACTGTTGATTTTGTTTCGTCTTTGTAGAATTTGTTATATAGTTTACATTTTTCTTTGCTAAATGTATGTTTGTTAAAGTGTTAAACTTTGCTTAATCTGAAAATTTTCTTCTATCTCTTGTAAACTTGATTCCACCACTTCAGTCTCTTTCTTAACTTCTTTTGCTTTCTTCATTAGGCACTCACCATTGTTTATCATCTGCTCATGACAGATTTGCTTAAGAGGCTCTTATAACAAATTTAACCAAAAAAAAGTTGGCTTACATGAGTTTTTGAAACACTGGGTTAACCCACAACATCAACTAAAACAGATCGTATAACTAATCCCAAGTAATCATCTCTCGGTAATTCTTCCTCTACATTGCTGCAACTATATCCACATTACAGTTGGTGACAAAGTGGATGACATGTTCATATTGAATCTCATCCTTCACCACCGTCTTATTAATGAAGTAAGCAACTGCAACAGCATATATGAATTCACACATTTAGTATATCACCTTCGAACATACACATGACAAATATTGAAGACACGTAAGAAACAGCTCCAGCTTTTTACTAACAAATCCAATTTAAACCAAAAGAATGGACAGAAATTGGCAATCTGGTTTTGTCTTACTATCTATAATCACAACATACAAACAACTAAAACCGAAATTAGAGAATGTATTTCCGTACCTCAAATAGTTCGAATGCACTGCCTTTTCGATACGTATCATCTTTCTTCTTAGACTCTGAAGGAAGCACACTGAACAATAGTGATCTCCATCCAATAAGTAAGACAGCAGTACTTCCCATTGTCACCAAGATAAAGGTATAGGCCGGGATGTGACCTGATGAGGTTGACCTAATGATCATTCCAAGCTGCAAAGAAAAGGAATATAATAATGTTAAACTGTTTAGTAGACACATGAACAGATAGTTCACAGATCACATAAAACAAATCTACTTCATCCTAAAGCTACATCAATTGACATAAAACAAATCCACTTAGACACAAGAATGTACCAGGAGAAAAGGTGATTGATTAAAGAGAACATAAACTCCAATATTAAATCTGATCATGTAAATCATGTACCAAAACACAGAGCATCATTTCAAATTTTTCAACCAACCATACACACATATAGCAAGTCTCCTTGAAAAAAATTATAGAAACATTACTAAAGAAAAGATCACTAGATTGCTACATGTCATGTCAACAGATAGCATCCTAAAACTACATGTCAACAAAATTATACACAACAGTGGACCAGGAGCAAAGGTGACTAATAAAAAAGAACATAAACTTCGTTATATGAATCTTATCCAGAGATAGATAAATAATGTACCATAACATGGCCAGTTAGCCACATATAGCAAGCCTCCTACTTGAACAAAATATAGACACATTACAGAGGAGAAGATCACTAAATTGCTACATCTCATGTCAACAGATAGTTAACAAATAACTTCCTAAAACTATATGTCAAGAAAATTATACACAACAATGGACCAGGAGCAAAGGTGACCGAGTAAAGAGAACATAAACTTCGTTCTCTGAACCTGATCCGGAGATAGATAAATCATGTACCATAACATAGCCACATATAGCAAGCCTCCTACTTGAACCAAATTCAGATTTTGCAAGTTTTCATTTTGGTAAATGCAGCCTTACCGGAACTCCGAGAGCCCAAGACTTCGCGGCTGCTAACACGGCTTTCGACTGACCCTTCATTCCTCTCCCTTCCTCCGCATATCCTCCCAAGAAATACGCACTCAAGAACCAGCCTGCCCAACACAATTTCCCCAATCCCATTTCAAACAAAACTTCTAAAAGCAAAATCTCACACAAAATTTCATAACTTGAGAAAGGAAGTAAGGAACAATACCAGCAATGAAAGGGTCAGCTGTGTGAAGAGTATCGATGCTAAACACAGGGAATCCATGGCTGAATCTCCCAATCGCAGAGAAAAGAAGCAAAGCCAAAACATCCCCACCAGCAAGTAACGCGACACGACTGAAGAAACCACACAAAATCAAAACTTCGATATTGACAAAAACAAACAAGCAAAAGAGTAAAATCCCCTTTACCCCCATTTCTTGATTGAAGCATTTGAATTGGGTTTATCGAATTGAATAACGCCTTCGAGAGGAACACTCTCTTGACCCACGAAAACGGTGTCGTCTCCTGTAGATGGGATTTGGGAAGGTGTTGACGATTTGACGCTTCCGTTTGAGTCGGAGTTAGAGAGAGTGAGGACGACGCGTCGCCGGCGGCGAGTATTGGCGGCGGGGAGGAGCCCGAGCCATGGATCGGAAGAAGGAACACGAGGGTTTGGTTTGGTGATGAATCTGACGGCGGAGACAGGTCCGGTGGGAGTACGAAGAATCAACATTCTCAGTCCTAAGAAGCTAATCTCGTCCGCCACTCATATACTACTACTCAGTCTCATCTTTTTTTTCTTTGTCTCATCTATTTAGATTTTTTTTTAAATGAATGTTTTAAACTAGGTGAATACCAACACTGCAGTTTTTTTTTTCAATTTTTCAAATTTTTTTTAATATTTTTATAAAGATTAATATAATCATCACTCGTTATTAACTTATTTGTTAATATTTTATTCTAAAAAATTTTAAAATATTAATTTAAAATATATATTGAATATTATTTAACAATTTAAAATTATACTAAAATTAATATATATCATTTAATATTTTTAATTATTTGTAACATAAATTTTTGTTTAACTTTACACAAATATTAATTAATAGTCAATTAATAAAAAAATAAAAATTAATATAATCATCATTTCATTTGTTACTTGTTAGTATTTTATTATAAATAATCTTAAAAATTAATTTAAAATACATTTTGAATATTATTAAGTAATTTACAGTTATATAAAAATTAAATACATATGTATCAATATTTTTAATTATTTATAACATAAATTTTTGTTTAACATTAATATAAATGTTAGTTAAAAGTCAATTAATAAAATAAACTTTTCATATATTTTTTAAGTGCTTTAAAATTTAATATTAAAATTTATTAATTAAAATTTAAGTGACAGGTGTCAACCTCTCCAAAGCTGATGTGTTAAACATATGGAGAAAGTTGAACAACTTTTATATATAAGATTAGAAATTTTGAAAATTTAAGACAAAAGCCATGTAGTTAACAACCGTTTCAAACTGGTTTCTAACCATTTATTTCACCACGACTTTTGCGATTATTTTATGTATATTTTCGGGTAGGCAATATAGGTTATACATGACTTCTTTGAAATGTCTTTTTGGTAGATGCGATCATAAAATGAGAAATAATTTCGTATATTTCTCCAGCAAATTCTTATATATCTTCGTTATAAAAATTAGTTTGTTTTGGATTTATTTTAAACAAAAATTAGCAGTTAAATACTTGAAAACCCTTAGTAAAGTTTGTTATTTACGAACCCAACCACTAAAATATACACCTAATCAATCACACTCATATCAGATTAAATCTGAATAAATCAGGTCTTTGGTCAAAATTGTTCAAAATTGATCAAACCCTAAATAGCAAATATATTTAAGAAAAAAAAATTGAGTAATTTTGAATTCGAAATTGTCGTCGTTGTCTAGTTTGTGTAGTTTCTGGTACAACTACGAGTGATTTGCTGCTGCCGGTTTTGAATCAACTGTAAATCAGGTTCGTACTTATTTCTACTTTGTCTGAGTTCAACGACTTATCCTTTAGATAACTTTGTAGGATTGAACTCGATTTTGTGTAGAATCAAAATCGATTTATATGTTTTCTATTCGGTGGCTAATTAGAAAATAGGATTCATGGGGTATTGAAGGAGAGGTTAGCAATGCTAGACCAGAACAGTACTCGAGCACATAATCACTGCAGGAAAACATAGTAGAAGGAGTAGCCGATTCAGAGACGTGTAGAATCATATAGTGTTGTGGCAGAACCCTACGGATACTAAGGGTGATGAGGAGGAAGAGAACCAGCCACGTCCACCTGTGAGGATGTTCTTTGATGCTGCTAGGTTTGAAGGGAACACATATGAAGTTTTTAATTTTGTAAACCCTAGTGTCTGCAAGTGCATAGTCGTGCGTTGTAGTACTTAGGGTGTCGATCTACAGGGAGAGTTGTTTTTTCTGCAAAAAACTTCAAACCGGATTAGTAATCGAGGTCAAAGACCAATGGGGGGTTTTTGTGGGGTTTGTGTGTCACTGAAATAGTAAGAATGCAAAATAAACAAGACTGAAAGCTCTAATAAAACGAATGTTGGGCTGACAGGGATATCTCAGGGGATATTCGATTCATGCTAGATTTTTAAAGCTCATAGTGGGAAATTTAGACTTCTCTGGTTTACTCTAATCGATGTCAAAGCATTTCCAATTAGTTTCCGGGCGATTTATCATTATCTATCTTCTAGGATCTACATGGAACTGGAATAGACATGTGTATGATTAACTAACTCTCGTCATCTTAATAAACTAATCACTTAAATCTGACAATTAACTCTCGCTCTAATGCCAAGAATAAGATCATGCATTAACTATTGAATTCGTTTGCTCACATCTTCTCTACAGGTAGCTCTCGACTCCTGTAGCGACTATGTTCTTCTGAATCTAGTTACGGATGATCTGATACAGCACTCTTGTGGCTCTGATTGATCCTAGGTTCAGAGAATATGTCATGAATCTACTCTCATGAAATATGAACAACTTAGAAGAGATGAGATCCATAATATGGCTAAGAAAGCAGCAATCCTAATTGAATATGGAACCCCCTTCAATGGATCCCTTAAATCCAACAACTAAACTACTCTGACATGATTAAAGAAAACATAAGCATAGAAATAGATAGCATAAACTGAATAGATGAAAAGAAAAATAAGGGTTCAAGAGAAGAATCTCTATCTCCCTAAACTAAACCTAAGAAACAAAAGTTGGGTGCCTCCCTAACAAGGGGAAAAGAGCACACACACGAAATGAGGTCTTCTAAAATACATATTTATAGGTCTCCAAGTCTTTCTAGTCGTCCTTAGGCTTTCTTTAAAGAGAGAATGAGTTGGGCTTGAAAACGGGCTATTGGGCCAAAAATGGGTTTTTCGCAGAATTGGGCTCTCCAAGGCTGGTAAATGTGGGTTCATCTTGGGTGGAGGTTCTGAGGCGTGGCCAGGATAGTGTTCACCGCGGTCACGAGCTCTTGGACCGCGGTGGTTGGCCTATGATGTCCAAACTTCATTCCTTCTCTTGCTTCTTTCGCCAGACTGCAGAACATGTCTTCAGTAAATTGGAAATAACTTATGATCCAACCGTTATTGCGTCCAATCCAATTGCAGTAGAAATCTGGTTGTATCCTCTATCTTTTGTCCAAATTGAGCTTGATCGGACGGTGAGAAGGTCTTCATCGGATATGAAACTTCTGATGGTCTGAAATTGGTCAAAAGTGGATTTTTTTCTCCAATTTACATTGTTTTTGCTTAAGTAACCTGAAAAGTCTTTTAAAACTCCAAACATGGAAAACACTTATAAAACCTTTAAAACTGATTAAAAACACCTGCATAAGATACTGAAAGTGATCCATAAATATGGTCAAAATCAGGTGTTATCAACTACCCGAGACTTAAACTTTCGTTTGTCCTCAAACAAAACAAAAGATCTAACTCCAGAAAAGATGTTTGAAAATCGCAGAAACTAAAAAAAAAAATCTCAGAGACCATGCTTCTAAACTAAAGTCAATCATTATGCTCAGATCAGGTATAGACTAGAAAATTATCACCAAAATACAAGCATAACTAGTCCGTTGATCCGTCATGTGAAAGTCTACACACTTAGACCTATCTTCCAGTCAACTAGTTCTTAACATTCATTTATAAACTCCAGCGGTTCTCATCAAAAGAATAATAAACAAGGCATTCAAGGCTAGGTATTCAAAAGACTGGAGAGACAGGATATTATGCAAAACAACAAGAGAGGATGAAGCTGTTGGCGTCCACAGTTTCCAGTCACATTCTTCTTGCCTAAAGATTTCTGATCTCCTTTCTTCAGGTTCTCCTCATGACTCCCCTAAACTTAGATTTTTGTCCAGGTTGTAAAACCATAACTCATTTGATGAATATTTGTAGCATTTGCTCCAAATAAAGTCGGTTATCATGTAAAGTCTAGAAGCACATGGGTCTTACTCATCATAGTTTTCTTTTTGGTGTTCCTGTCTTGAAAACCTTTTGAAATTTTGTTTTGAACCTTTTGAAATTTTTTTATGAAACACAAATTCAAAACAAACCAAATTTCGTTAGTAAATGATGAACATCCTCCCCACGACTTTAATCACACTGTCCCCAGTGTGAAAAAGTTGGTGAAAAGATGGTAAATAAATGCAAAAGAGTCTAAAATAAAAGAAAATAAAATGATGTAGAACCATGGGTATGGCGAGGTGATGGATAAGAGCCTATGTCTTATGGCTGCTGTCTATCTCTGTAGCAGAGGAATCATCATCATACCTGTGGTTCTTCGCATGAGCACTATTCTTAGTGTGAATGAGACGTGCTCGGGAAAGTTCCATGACCTGAATGTTGACAAGAAGAGATGCCATCGTTGGTCTTTGTGAATCTCCTTGAAGAGATACCTATACAGACCACTTGCACCAAAACTTGCATAACTCCTTTCTCAGTGGTTTGGTACCTGATTTTCTAACTCCATGAGACTGGTGACTCAAGCAGCTTCAACTTTAATGAAGGGTCCGATTGCATCCGGGGAGAGAAAGGCTTCCGTCTCACCGGTTCTTTGAGGTGTATCTGATTGGTCCAGCTGTGAGACGAGTTCATATTCAAACAGTCATACTTTCAGCTCACTGATCTAAATCTTCTGATTCCAAGTGTTCTGGAAAGATTAATTTCTCCTCTACAAATTTGGTGAAGACACCAAAGTCTGTATCGAAGTGTAAGGCCTCCGTCTCAGGCAATCTTTCAAATGTATCACCAGGTGAAGATGCTTGTCCGCGGGTCAGAGAATGGTTCGGTATGTGGGCTGGCCGCAGGTCGTGTGTGCATGGCCACGTGTCAGGATGCTGGGTCGTAATGTGGGATGGTATATATGACCGCGGTGAAAGGATGGTTCGGCCGCGGGTGAAAGAGTCGCGGCCGAGCGTCAGTGTGGGTCGGCTGCGGGTCAGGGAGTCCAGGGCTGAGGCATTTCAGGGGATCATCAAAACAGATGCTTGGACATTTCCAAACTTTGTTACTCCCTTGGAGGTATGTCACATTATAAAAAATTTGTAGGTCTATGTGTAGTTGTAATATTATGAGCTTAATTGTAATTTGTTGGGTTATGTGTAGTTGCTAGGTTTTGAGGCCATCTCATGTCTGCAGAACAAATATAGAGAAGATGTTAGAGGAGCAGAGAGGGATTGTCCCCGGATGTGCAGACAGAAGTTCCGACCATTCATCCTAAAATATTTTCTTTTTCGGAACTCTATGAA